AAAGAGTATTAAATGGAACAAAAAGGAAGTACTTTATAATGAACAAAACTTCAAATTAGGTGGTGGCTCCACAGTGTAGTGGTTAGCACGTCTGCTTTACACGCAGAAGGTCCTGGGTTCGCGCCCCAGGTGGAGCCACGGACCATACCCCGGGTGCACCAGGTTTCTCAGGTGCATGCCATGAGCGTGTGGGGGGGAATTAAAGAGGGGAGAAAAAAAAAAACCAAACTTCAAATCATATAAAAGACATAAGACATAAATGCCATGAAACTTTAGATATCAAACAACATAGCATCAAAACACATAAAGCAAAATCTTCAGGAAATTCAAAAACTACTTCCTTTAATCATTGACAGATCAAGTAGGTACGGACAGAGAAGATGTGAATATTGCCTTCTATATTGGTCAAGGTTCAGTTGCATAGAACACAATCCTCTCAAGTCAGTTCAAGCTAAAAGAGACTTAATAATTAAAGGGTATTAAATGATTTACATCAGTGGGACTCAAAGTGTGGTCCAAGAACTGGCAGCCTCAGCAACACTTGGAAATCCTACCCCAGATCTACCGAATCAGAAACTCTGGGATGGAGCCAGGGCTTCAGGGGATTCTGATGCATATTCAAGTTTGAGAATCACCTGCACAGAGGATCATTAGGAGATGTGGGTGTGGGGGACATTTTAGGAATAAGTGCTTGTCAAATTGAGGAGTTATTTTATAGCTGCTGATTCAAGAACCACATGGCCTCTCCTATGCCATGGTGGGGAGGCACCTGCTGAATCAAGAAGCCCCTGCTACAGCTGATGGCTCCATAAACAGGTTGCCTCTGCAATAATCAGTAGACCATTCTCTGGCTCCCAGATCCAGAAAAATACCACGGCCACAATCTGCACCAGCAAAATGCATACCTTCTGGCCTGCCTCTCTCCTCTCTAAATTCAAGTCCAAATTTGAGTTCTTCAAGAGCACATCTGATTGGCAAGACCTAAATCATATTCAGAATCTTGGATGGTAAATTTCCAGGAAATGAAATTTCTAGCTTTCCAGGCTCTTGAGAGGAGGCTGCTCATTCTCTCGCATCTCATTTACCCCAGGGTAGAAAATGGAGTCAGTGTTTTCTCAATTGCTCTACAATGCCACTTCTTGACCAACAGTCCCTCCCCTCCTGTAAAAACCTTGTTCCTTTGAAGCTCGTAACATTGAGCTGAAGCACTGCTAATCACTACACTGTCACACCCTGGACTTTGTCATCACATAAAACCTTTTAACCTCCAAAATCACTAAAACATCCACTATCTGATCACAACCTCCCATCATTACAGCCAGACTGCTCAACTACTATCACTATATCTACTCTTCAACCATATCAAGCCACTCTATCCATTGATCTCTCCAACTTCTCCCTATGGAGAGATCACATCCAATCTAGCTTGGATTCCTTTATTTTCATCAGATTCTTATTATGAACTTCCTTTCTTGTCTTTTTGTTCCATACTCCTGGCAAAATTCAAGTCCTGGATGAACCAAATCATCTGTCTTCTCCATGTGTGCATCTAAGCTGCCAAGCGCTAGCAATCATACTTTCTCTCTACTCCAGTGTCTTATCCCCTGGTTCTCAGCAGAGGACTGTGATTTCTGAAACAAAAACCAAAGCTAGTAGAGGGGAAATACTTCAATTTCTTGTCAAGAAACCTAACACTCTCTGCATCTGAACCCTTCCCTCATCTACTTTCTAAGGCCAAACCTTGCACTTGTGTTCTAGACCCATTCCCCGACACCTCCTAAGGAAACTGGAGGTATTTATCCTTTCCTTTCCATTGGTTCCTTCCAAACAGCCTTTAAATGTTTATAATTCTCATCTTAACACACAATTATCCTTCAACCTATATTCCTCCTCCAACTAATATCCTCCTCTTTCTTCTCATAGTTAAACCTTTGAAAGAGTTGTCTGCCCTTACGTTTTAATTACCCTGCTTCATCCTAACTAGCATATTGCCCCAACTCATCACTGAAGCTAAAGTCATTAATTACTGTTAGTCAATCCAATTGACACCTCTCAGTCTCGTTTAACTTGACCTCTCAGCAGCAAGGAGCTCTGAGACGACTTACCACTCTTTTCTTGAAAGTCTCTTTTGAGAAGCAATTTAAGTGCAGTAACCTTCTAAATTTTTATAAATGTTCCTCAGTCTTTTACAGTTATTTCAATGACACCTATTTGGTAGCTCTTTTGCTTGTTTGCAAACTCATCTCTTTTATGTTTCCAAAGCATTCAACTTAGTTTGCTTTTCTGTTTTAGAATTGTTTTAATAAAAATTTTAGTTGATACAAAATAATTATAAATGTGTAGAATATAAAGAATAACAATAAAACACCTGTTTATCTTCTATATTTCAGCTTAGTTTTAATAGACAATAAATCATACTCAAATTCCTTTAAAATTTAAATATATAACACAATATATAAATATAATGAAAAACCAACTGACACAAATTCAGGAATCAATACAATGAGTCTTGGTAAGTATTCAACTCTACTAGTGGGAGTAGAGTGACTAGGCCTAAAGGAGAAAAGCCTACATGATTTTGAGCATTGTGTGCCATGGGCATCGGTCTGTATGCTTTACAAAGGAAATGGGGAACATCAGTTAACACAAAGAAGTTAAATGGAGATCAGCTAAGATAACTTCTATGTATGTCTTAAAGATTTCCCATATCAGTATGCATACATCTATCTCATTCTTAGTTACTATATGCTGTTCCATAGAATTATAGCTTATTTAGCTATTCCCCATTTAAGGATAATCGGGTTATACTATTACAAATAATACTGCAATGTGTATTCCAGTACGGATGTCTTCATTAATGAGAAATTATTTTTCTAGAATGAGCATCTGAAGTGGAATTAGTGTGCTGGGTTGAAGAATATGCACCTATCTAAATTTAATAGATATTGCCAAACAGTTTACCAAGGGAAACCAATTTATATTCCCACTAACTGTATTGCAGTAGCTATTTTACCACCCTTGCCAATCTTCAATTTTTGCCAGTTTGATGGGTGAAAGAATTCTTCTTTATTGTATTTTCACTGACCTGATAATAATTGAAGTTAATTTATATGTTGGACATTTATATGTCTTTTATGAACTACCTGTGCATATACTTTGCCTGTATTTCTATAGCGCAAATTGATCTTTTCCTTACTGATCTGTTGAGTTAATTGTGTTGCAAATAGTTTCTCTACCTTTTTTAAACTTTGTTCATAATGTTCTTCTGAAACTGAAGTTAAATGAATTAAATTTCTCAATCTTCTCCTTTATGGCTTGTTTTGTGTCTTAAAAAGGCATTTTCTACCCTACTGATAAAAACATATCCTATTTTATTTTCTTCTATTATTCTTCTAGTTTTGAATCTTACCTGTAGCTGAAAGCAACAGCACCATATGATGGTTAATTTCCATTTATGATTTCACAATACAAATTTTGGACACAGTAAAGGAAGGATGTTCAGTAAATTTATAATAGAGTTTATAAAATTATATATTTGCACCTCGACTCGTCTGGGTCCCATGCTGTTCCAGGCTGCCAGTCGGACCTCAGCCAAGGGAAATAATTAGATGTTCCTCAAATAAGGAGTTACTTTAAACACACTGTTTCCAATAAACCGTTTCCCAAAGTGTTCCTATGGTACAACTGGTGGTATGCAAAATGACTTTCATGGTACAAAAATGAACAATTTTGACAACTGTTTTTATTTTAACTTGTTTAAAAAACTGTAACAAGCCCATGACGCCGATGGTTTCATCTATATTGCTTAGAGATTAAAGCACTTACATTTTAAAAATAAATCAAAGAAAACTATTAAGAAAATAATTGTACAGTTGATAAGAATGGGTGGCAAAAAGTGACGATGGCACAGGAATGACTTAAGTTTGTGTAACAATATGCCGCAGGGGCGAAGAGGCTTGGCTATACCCTACGCCACTCTAACAAAGTGAGTTATCAGGGGTGGAGTTGAAGTCGTCACCTCTGGCTTCCCCAGCAGGCTGCCAACTTGCTATGTGATAAAAAGACCAAACAGGGAAACTTAACTGGCCCTTGGCTACGCCAATGGGGTTGCAGCGCGCGGGGCACAACCCCCAGGGTTAGAAAAGTCTCAGTGAGGAAGAGGCTACGACATAGCAGAATGAGGAGACTGAACCTCCACTATTAGAGGAGTGACCACCTGCCCTCCCTCACTTCTGGGCGTGGGGGCAGCTTTCACCACTAGCCGGTGCCGAGGTGAGCCCTGAGTTGTCTAAGGCTGAGGACTACTGTACGCTCAGAGTCGATGGAGTGTAATGTAAGAGGCACCGAGGCAAGAACACAGGATGCCGCGTTATGGACACCGCGTGGGGGGAGGAGGCAAGACCCGTTGTTAGCAGAGATGGGGGACGCACGCTTGCCACCGTGGGGAAGAAAGTGGGGAGGATGATGGTTTCTGTAGCAGTGCAGGGGCTGGAGGTCGCGATTTCGTGCAGAGAGGGAATAGCGGAGCCGGGAGTTCACTCCTAATATCTTAGTGCTACAGAAAAAGGAGGAGGGGGAGAAATAATCGTGAGGCGCCCCCGCACACCCCGCTGCGGTACACTCACCCTCACCAAAGTCCTTCCGGAAGTCCAAGTTCGAAGATGGCGCCGCCCGTCTGGTCGCGGTTTTATGACGAAATCTGATAGCTACTCTTCATAGATGCTCTCCCTTTGCCCCCGCCCTGCCGCCGCAGCCAGTGCAAAGGTAAACACGTGAGCTTGGTTGGGAGTTTGTGCCCAAAGGCGTTTTCTGTTAGACTATGTAGTCCATGATGCAGTGCGGGGAGAGTTCCCCAACCCTTTCAGAGCGGGCGAAGCTCCTGGGCTTCAGCGGAGCAGGGGACGCTGAATGGCCTTACGGGAATTGCAGTGTCAAGAAAGGAAGATTGACGCCTGCGCGGTGACGGTCGTCGCTAGCCTGAGGGTTCCCACGAGGCCTCTACGCTATCCTCCACGGTGCAGTTGCTCCCAAGCGCTGAATACTGGCTGTCCTTCGAGACTACCGGGACTATGGCCGTAAAGGCCAGGCCAGACGTGATTTTTTTTTTCCTATGCCTACAACACCTGGTCTTCCTAGGTGGTCTCCCATCCAAGTACTAACCAGGACCTACCCTGCTTAGTTAGCGTCGGAGACATGGGACTTGTTCAAGGTGGCATGGCTGTAGACCATAGACTGTGGCTCCACTGGGGTGGGAACCCAGAACCTTCTGCGTGTAAAGCAGACCGCTACACTATGGAACCATGTCCTGGATGTGAATCTTAACCTGCAAGTTTGGCGCCGTTTGAGCCTAAGACGGAGGCTGGGAGACAAAGGCATCCATCCTTGCTGGGGGCGACCAAAGGACAACTCTGGCCTCTGCTGCGCAGGGGCGC